TTCAAAATTTTCAGTTTCCATCAAAATTATAGCAAATAAAAGGAGAATGAAAAAAATTTTCAATAATATTTGAAGTTTTTTTTTTAAATTCAAATTTTAGCTAGTGCTATTAGAGTAGTAATTTTTTGAGTAATATATGCTTTTCATAATATTTATTTCAATCAAATCTATTGAGCTATAGCAATTATCAACTGCATTAAAACCATGGATAATAATTCTCGTGGCGATAATGTCACAAGACATATGGCACATGCCAATGACATCGTCCCAATTTTCCATCTCATTAAATGGATAAAAGATAAAAGATAAAAGGAAGGGAATGATTCTGATAGCAATACCAACGTCATCAAATGATGGCTCAATGGAAGTTCATGAAATTTGAAATTTTAGGTGTAAGTTTACAAAAGTTTGAAATTTCAGGTATTACTTTTTTTTACAACTGTATTACTCTTTTACTTCTATCCAGTTAATAATAATTATTCATTGATTGCTTATCAATTTGTTTACTATTTTTCATTCTCTTAACTTTGCTATTTATATTAAACTTAAATTTTGAAATTAATTTAATAATTAAATATTAGATTTTTCTTGAGAGATTCCTTTATAGCATACATTTTATGCCATCCTTAAAAAAAACATATTTAGAAGAAATGAATTGTTATGATCCTTATCACTTATTTACATCTTTCATTCCTATTTTATTCAATATCTTTTTGTTTATTTGTTTACTTATCAGTTATCAGTATATTTACTAATCATATGTTCACTTTTGCATCGTTCTAATGTTTTAATACTACGAAAAGTAATATTTGCATATTTAGTTTCTTTTTTTTTGTGAATTTTATTAACTATCTAATTATGATTATTTATCGTTTAAATTTCATTTTTACATAAATTAAACTATCATTTTATTTTACTAAAACCTTATTTAACATTTTCAAGTCATTCACATGACATCGAGAGTTGGAATATGCGATCGTTTGAAAGTCATGCAAGTGACATCTGTAGCAGTAATCCATCTAACCCATAATGACACAGATGTCAAATTTGAATGTTTGTTTTAGTGCCCTTTGGGCTAACCATTCCAGATATCCGTTTTGTTATGAGAAGCCAATTGTAAGATATATGATATATTATTGTGGAAATAGTCAATGACTACTGGTTTTAGGTAGCAATTCTATTCAATGGATTATCTCATCATGACAAACAATTCTTTTTTCAATTTTTAAAATTACATCCTAAATTTTTCATAAATATTTCTCTTTTCTATTTTTACTATCATGCAAAATAAATTTTAAAAAATATTAAAATTTTAAATTCCGTCAAATTTCAATGATTTGAATTGAAATGAAATCCTACAAACTTTTGCAATCAAACAAAAACTATCACTATTCGGTAAACATCAAACAATTGTCCATGTTAATTGCATTCATTTTAAGGCTTATATTTTCAAAACAATTTATAACCAATTTACTTTTATCTTTACTTTGATAATATTTTATAAATTGATATTTTCATTAAATCTAAACGTATTTCGCAGCTTTTGATAAATTAGAATTCTTTTTTGAAATAAATTATTAATAAAACTGATAAAATTAAATAATTTTAATGATACAGTCAATTATTTTTTGATAACCTTTTTTTTTGAAATGAAACTTTTTTTTGAATGAAATTTCGAAAGAGAAAAAAAATCACTTTTATCTGAAGTTTGTTAACGTTATCAATGATAAATAGTGCTGTCATGAGAAAAAAAAAATTATCAAAGTGATAATAAATCACTAATGATGGATATGCTTCATTATAATTATCGTTCTATTATTAATAAAATGACAATATTTTATCCAAATATGGTAATGATGATGGTTCAAGTATTATCAGTAAGAATATTACCACTTATCAAAGTGATAGTAAACCACTAGTGATGGATATGCTTCATTATAATTATCGTTTTATTATTAATAAAATTACAATATTTTTTTTGCAGATATGATAATGATGATGGTTCAAGTATTATCAGTAAAAATATTACCGCTAAGCGTATTGCTTCTCATTATTGCTATCACCAAATCAGATCAGTTCTATGATCCAACCACGCGAGATTATGTCGAGACATGTGATGAAATGGCTCAGTTAGCTGGCGATAATTTTTGCAGGGTAATATTCAAACGGATAGCTCAATAATAATTCATAAGCTAATAATTAACCTATAACTTAATTATAATTTACCTTGGTAAATAATTTACCTGGTGATTTTTTGGGATTTATAAAATGAAAATATTCATGGTTCAACCCATATTAATAGCTCTCAATCCAGCTCAATCTAATTTAATTCATATCAGCTCCCAATCTAGCTCAATCTAATTTGGTTCATATCAGCTCCTAGACCAGTTCAATCTAATTTAATTCATTTAATAGTATGATTTGCATCATATTATCTCATTTTACTATCCATCTCACATAATGCATATCAATGGGTAATTTATCAGTCCTTTTTCAGGTATTTGACATTTGCTGTCGAGATCGTGCAAAGAACAAATTGAATGGTGATCGCTGTCAATTAACTGATCCCACTAATGGATGTCAACTCACTGCTGAGGTAATGTGCCAATCATTCGTTATCATCAACCACCTTTGATAAATCTAATTTATGACATTCATTTATAGCATATTAAATGTACAAGAATGTAAATGTCAACGTATGAAAGTGTTACTAATCTCTTGATCTCTAGTCTTCTTATCTTTGTCTTTTAATTTTATTCTTTTTTTTTCGTTCAGAGAAGGGAAAATTTTCGAAAATTTTCAAACTATTT